AGAGCAGCTCAAGAGAATTTAAGGAGGTTGAAGCTCTTTTCTGTAAAACCATGAGAGGCTTTGATATCGTCAACATTGAGAGAATTCAGAACCAAAGTCTTTGGGAGGCCTTTCAGTTGTACGTACTGACATCCAATTAATATGCATGATTGCAGGTAGCCACCCCTGTCTGATAAAGTGACATCATCATTTACAAAACTCATGTTGTATTAAAGTAGACTTTAAACTATTAATGGAGAAAAAATTAACCCAATAGGAAAATATTTAAAGAAGTCATAAACGAACAGAGAAGATCTTCGTTCTTGCATTTAAATTAACTGACCACTTTTTCAGTTTTTTGCCCCCGGCTGGAGATTATAAAAATATAGAGATTTAAGCTGCCCGCAGCGGTGTTACTTTTCAGAATCACAGGCTGGGTCCATCTTTTATTCAATGTCTACTATTAGCATGCAGACTTTCTGACTTTTTCTCTACTTTTTCTTTATATCCTTGCCTGGATCTAGACCAGGGGTGGGCAATTATAGGCCTCGAGGGCCGGTGTCCTGCAGGTTTTAGATCTCACCTTGGGTCAACGCACCTGAATCACATGATTAGTTCGTTACCAGGCCTCTGGAGAACTTCAGGACATGTTGAGGAGCTAATTTAGCCATTTAAATCAGCTGTGTTGGTTCAAAAAACCTAAAACCTGCAGGGACACCGGCCCTCGAGGCCTGGAGTTGCCCACCCCTGATCTAGACCCTTACCCCAGTGTTATCTTGGAGATCTACAAAGACTTCCCAAAATTTCATGGCTTGTTTTCTTCCAGATATAATGGTGACCTATGGGGACATTATATGTAGTAAAATATACTGTGGAGGAGAACACAACCATGAGAACAAAGGGCAACTCAGACCACAAAGACACAGACTAAGACGTGAACTTGACACAGTGACGGGAACATGGAGACGTGACTGACTGGGGAGACAGGACAGGGTCATAAAAGATGATGACTAAAGATTACATAACCTAATGACGAGCACAGAAGCAATGGGAAACAATAATATATTGAAAGGAGTGAATACAGAGCTAGAACGTAAACTGCGGCTCAACATCCAAAAGAACAAATCATGAGCTCACAGAAAACTCAAAACATAAAAAGGCTCAAAGACACAAGACCATGATTCACACTCTTACAGCTTGGCTTAATTTGTTTCCTGTCTCCTTTTTCAAGGCAGAAGAATCAGATGAGGACCAAAAACCAAGGGAGAGATGTGCCTGAACTGAGGCTTTTTCATGGCATCGACTCCAAATCTGTAAACACCATCTGCCATAACAACTTCGACTGCAGAACTCATGGGATGGCTTATGGCAAAGGTGAGTGGAAGAAATGTTCGTGCTGAAATAGTTATTGGTTATTCAAAAGCAAAGACTCTCATCTTTGTGACACCGTGAGTCCTGTGAAGTTATTCTTATGGAAAACATTGATTTTTCACCTTGTAATCACCTCTGCATGTTTACCAGAAATACATTTTTTCACAATTGTACCTTTTGGTGTCTAAACACAGGTAGTTACTTTGCCCGCGATGCCAAATACTCCCACGACTTCACCGGTGACGCTGATGTCCGAGCCATGTTCATCTCACAGGTGCTGGTGGGAGACTACACCAAAGGGTCCTTCGATTATTGCCAACCTCCTTCAAAAGACGGAGGGGACATAAACTTCTATGACAGCTGTGTAGACGATGTAATGGACCCCGCCATATTTGTGGTGTTTGAGAAGCACCAGATCTACCCCGAGTACCTGATCCAGTACAATTAGACAGACGTGTACTGGTGAAAGAAACCAGCTACCCGATTAGCTTACCAACCCAGCACAGTTTCTTTCATGTGCTGATGGTGGGACAAATGTAAGCACTTTGAGTACTCAGAGTAGAAAAGAGATATGAGAACCACGTTTACCATTAAGCATTTAGCAATGTTGGTAAAAATGTGTGAATTGTCCTGGGAAATACTTGGTAAAACTATTTTAGGTTTATTCAAATGATGAAAATGCTGAATAAGCAAGTTTCTTTTGTTTGTTTCGATGCTCAAACGTTTTCAACTCGACCAAATGCAAAGGGATTTTTAAAAGAAGACAAATTTCCACAAATCACAAACATTTCCAGTCAGTTTGTCTTCATGTGCAAAAGATGCAGATAAAAACAGGCGGGCACAATCCCATTTGCTGAGGTGTTTTTTATAGAAATTACACCAACTTTTATACAAAATGTAATAATGACATTTTGTATCGCTAATGATCTCAGCATATATCTGTATGTATCTCCTTAATGGTGGGCCAATCAATAACATTGCAGTTATTAACATCTATTTTAAGCCATGTCTTTAAGTTTTCATATTCATCGCCCTGACAATGCGATGATGTCTCCATTTGTTGTTGTTGTGACATTCAACATACACAAAGAAATTTAGTTATACTCAACATAAATACAGAATGAAGAATTTGACAAAGCATACAGGCTTAGCAAAAACCGCCCATAGGACAGGTTTATGCGAGTAATATAGATATGCTGCAGCGTGTTAACCATATCGGAAGAAAAGCCTGAGTGCTTTCCTCGTGATTATCTCGGGAAGTTTTATACGTCATCCACATTTAGTGGTTATCATGCGAAAGCGTCGTACCTAAAACATATCAAATAATAAAAAGGGATAACGTTGGAGGCGTTTAGAGCCTCAGATTCTCGTAAGGATTTGTCCAAGACACGACGGACTGCGCGTTGGTGCCTGAGGATAGCTTTGCTGTTTTAGATGACCTTTGCAATGTCAGCAGCGAGCAGGGACCAACGTCTGGGAACACGTATAGAAACAAACAGCAGCAGTGTGCGATACTCACTGTGCTCGGAAAAGCTTGAGAAGAAGGAAAGCGAAAAACATGGACCTTCTAGTCCAGCGGTCCCCAACCTTTTTCGCGCCACGGACCGGTTTAATGTCAGACAATATCTTCACGGACCGGTGTTCTGGGAATCCATCCTACCTGACAAACCATCCTACCTGTTGTTTGCACGCATGCGCACAACACGAAATTAAGTGGCGACCGTCCTACCTTTGTGAATATGAGCGAGAAGCATACTCCGATGGGCAAAGTTAAGTGGCAAACCATCATGCCTACTTAAATTTGTGCTGGAATTAGGAAGTATAATGGTTTGTCAGAACACCGGCTTTTAAGGTGTCGCGGATAAATACAAGAGAATAAAATGATACGACCAAGACAGATATAATAACAAACGTGGATTCACTGTGTAATTGTGTAACTTTATTAGCAGCGTCCTCCTGAAATGCGCCAACAACGCTGAGAGTAACATCCTCCTCTCTGCCCCTTAATACTCTCTGGTCACTATGGTAACGCGTAAATATTTATTTCAAAATAAGACACACAAGACTCAGGGAAACAGAGTTAACAATAAAAACCATAAATTTCACAACCGAGCCTCAACTCTCGCGGCCCCATACCAAGCGACTCATGTACCAGTCCATGGCCCGGGGGTTGGGGACCGCTGCTCTAGTGCAGCACAAAGGTGATGCTGTGGTGGTTGTTAAACGTTCACTTCGCCCTGTTGTGCACAGTCTTTCTAGTTCATAGTCTGACTGTAAATGCAGAAAACAGTTGATAAAAAAATACATTTCTCTTTGAAGATGGTTAAGTTGTTACATTGTGTATATTTCCTTTCTCTTTAGCTCTTTTGCAGTCATAGCCCGCTTGGTCAGTAGTACATGGATTAGCTGTTATATATTTATAATGATTAGAAACAGATATAACAAAATACAAATACCCCATGCTACTAGTTTTGATTCTTGTTATTGTTCTTGACACTGTATGAGAGGGTACTTACAGCCCATTCAGGTTGCACAGTTAGTCCAGTTCCTGGACCGCTCTGTCTCCTAAGACAAGAAGGCGGGCTGTGCGTGAGGAAACCCTGAAAGGGCCATAGAAGGGCATCAACCCAGCAGCAGGATCGCTATCTGTTGCTTTATGCAAAAAGTAATGGAAAGATCACTGCCAAAGCCTTACAGAGTGGCAAATTTATGTGCATGTTCCCGATGAAACTGTTAGGAACAGACTCCATGAGCATAGCTTGAGGTCCTGATGCCTTAAACAGCAGTCATGAGAGCTGCTGACTAACACGTGGAGGTCTGCGTTACCTTCCAAAGGCTTACCCTCTCCCAAAAAAGTCATACAGGATGTTTCAGGCTTCATAAAGTTTACCGATGGCGCCTCCAGATTCTTTACATCTGCTCACTGTAAACCTGTTCTACTATTAAAGATATTATTCTTCTGAAATGTTCTATCAAAACAGATTTTTGTGTGTGTGCATGTTGGCAATCATTCAAATAAATAATTATTTAAGAGTTATCGAGACTGTTCACGGGTGTGGTTCTTGATTATGGCCCACTGTGGTTTACGTGGCCTATATTATAGTCTGCATCAGGACATGTGATGATCTGCACTTCCTTTTGGAGTCACAGTTGCAGGATAAAAAACTGCAAAACAAAAAAACCCTCTTTACTATATTTGTTAAAGAGCAAAAAGACGAAGGCGAACAAGCTTCAGCAATAAGCTGTGGGTTTACAAACCTTCTTTTTGCCCTCAAAAAGAACAAATAAAGATTACGATAATATTTCCAATAACAACATTCATATTTTCCCTCTGCTCCGGCGTTCCAACACCTTCAGTTAATGAGGAATACTTACTTCTAACTTAGATCTTATGAGATGAATCGTCATCATAATCATCAGTTTGAAAATTCTGGACACATTTTAATGATCCATAAATTTCTGTGATTTTTACTTTCCAACAATAATGAGTTAACACAACAAAACACAACAAAAGTGAGCTTGTTGGATTGTAAAGGCGCCTGTCTCTAAAGTATTTTGGGTCAACTTCTGCTTTTTAAATGTGCTATGGGCTATAAATAAAATAGACGTGACAGTCAACACATAGTGCATGTATGAGGCATATTTTTTCATTTCCAAAAATAAATAAATTACACAGTTCAGTCGGTTACATATTGAACTTGGAGAAGATAAAACAAGATATCGTATCAATCCGTTACCAGTATTAGTGTTGGTATGATACTCTTGATATTCACATTGTTCAGTCGTTCAGGTGTGCTACTGGGGAATCGCCTCAGTTTTTCACTGTGTTATGTGTAGCAGCTATGCAAACAAGAAGAGCAAAGATATTTTTGGACTTGTAATTGTTGTTAGTGCACAGCTGTGCAGCACAAGTATATAGGTTCACCCTCCCCACCCCAGGCAGACATGCATAAGCTATTTAAGCTGCAAACACACAGCCTGGCAGCTGATGGACAGTTAAGACCCGGAAATTCACCCCAAAGGTTTATGGGAGAGCAAAGGTAAAACAGGAAGTAATAGCTATGACTTCCTTTAGTCAGACTTTGAGCTTTCTGCTAATCAGCTCTACTGTGTTCATGTTACACTGTGTGCCGAGTACAAATGCATTCCCTATATTCTTTCATGGACGCCCCCAAGTGGAAATCAGCAGCATTACAGCATCAGTCCAAGATAAAAATAGTTCAGTTTCGCTTTCCAATCGTCAGAAATGATACCGAGGTTTTCCTCCTCCCATGAAACCAGCGGCCGCTGTCGTCAAGCTGCGGTTTGGTCTCCCAGGTGGAAGTTAACGCAGGCAGAGCTCGGACACGATGGAGACGGAAATACTGAGAATGATCTGCGCCGGCCAAGGAGCAGTCAACACGGAGGATTTAGTGTATAATTTGTTTTCCGGCGATCCCACGATGTTGTCGGAGATAATTTCGAACCGAGAGAAATTTGTTTCGTGTTGTCCAAACGGACAGCCGAAGGTGGTGGCCAGGACCCGCCTGAGACTTTGCAGAGTGAAAGACTGCCCGGGGACGTGCAGGGCTCTGCACCTGTGCAAAAACTTCCTCTTCAGCGGATTCTGTCAGTTCACTCAGCTCAGGTAAATATACCGGACTTAAAGTAAGAAAGGTGAGTCATGGTCGGAGTGAAACAGCCGCCGTCTCTGTTCATCCGGGCCTTTTCTAGTAATGCTGAAAGTGGCTGCCAGGGTTAAAGGCCCTGACTAGTGTCTCTGTTTACAGTCAGTGAATATGACACTGACGGTGCGTTCAGGTGTTGTTGGGAAAATTCGACATTTTAAGCAGTTTGACGCAGATTTGTTAGAAAAGCTAACCTGAACAAATATCATCATGTGACTCGACAGGCTAATAGGAAAAGTTCCTCTCGGTGCTTCCTCGTACCGACTTCTGAGTCTCAATAAAAACTTTATTTTTATTGTCGTATTTGTGTACAACCAAGTTACGGACCATTAATAAATATTAATTAATAAAATAATTCGTAGTGCTTTTGTTATTAGTAGTGTTTATTATTGTCGTCATATTAACTGGTTTTGAAGTCAGCTACAATGACAAATTCTCGGGTTTAGAAAAATATAAGAACAGATATGTTGACAGCAGTCAAAATTTATTTTTTATTGGTATTGGGCTGAATTTGGAAACAGACACACACACGTTTGGCAGCACTTATCATGTTTGTGTGTGGCCCTAATCCTTCTCATGTCACAGTCATGACTCAGCTGTGTGGATTCTGTTATAACAGGAGGGGCTGCTGCTTCTCCCATGAGCTGACCTCTGAGCATAACCAAAGACTTCTGAGGCAGCATGAGCTGGAGAGCCTGAGCCGAGAGGAGCTGTGCACCCTGCTGCTGCAGAGTGACCACACACTCCTTCCTGCTGTGAGTCTTAACCCAACACACGATAACGCACCCTGACGAAATACTTTAGGTTGAACTCATCATCATTGTCATAACATCTTTTCACATCTGATTTGTTCTGGATCATGTTCATTTAAATTGTAACAGCTTGTTGATGCTGTAGCAATAACAAACAGCACAGCTGACACCCACACAGTGTAACATAATATGTAATTCTTCACAAATTGGCAGTCAGTGAGGTGTTCTTAAAACTTAGAGGTAAAGTTGTTTGCCAGATGTGTATTGTTCTCCAATTTTAAAACAAGTTTTCTGTCACGTTGGTGGCAAATCAGCTTTTTCATACATGTAAAAAAGTATATTAAAAGTTTTAAAACACATGCAATGTCATTGG